GTCGGCGCGCTCGGCTCGTGGACGACGGACAGCCCCATCGACCTCGCCTTCTTCTCGTCCAAGGGCCCCGCCAAGTACACGGGCGCTGACGGCAAGCCGCGCAACCTCGTCAAGCCTGATATCGCCGCCCCCGGCTTCTTCACGCGCTCGGTGGACATTAGCAAGTTCAACGCGTACATCAAGATGGCCGGTACGTCGATGGCCGGCCCCCACGTTGCCGGTGTTGTCGGTCTCCTCAAGAGCGCCAAGGCCGACTTGACGTACGAGGAAGTGTACGCCTACGTCACCAAGTACGCCTTCACCAAGACGTTGACGCCCGAGCCGGCCACGTGGGTCGGCAAGGCCAACGCGACGCTCCCGGGCGCGCCCAACTGCGGCGGTGTCTCGGACGCCTCGTTCCCCAACAACCGCTACGGCTTCGGTCGCGTCGATGTCGCCAACATGTTTGAAGGTGGCAAGCTCAAGCCGGTCAACCCCAACCCTGCCTGCTAAATCGATTCGTACTCCTTGTCTGCATACTAAGTGTAAATGCAATCCCTCGTGTTTATAACCTCAAACTACTTCGGTCGCGTCGTGTAAGCACTCGCGCAGCTCGAGTCGTCGCTCTAGTCCGTCACATACCGGTAGTTGAGTCCTTTGGTAGTGTTTCGAACCGAGTCGAATGCTTTGGCCTTGTGCAGTGGAGCACGATACGCCATGTACAGCATCGTGCCCGGATGCTCCAATCAAGCACGAGCAGCTGCAATCGCACCACAGAAAAATGCGATTTACGAAAAGCGATTTTGCTACCACGTCACCCATATAGTACACCTAACCACGACCCACTTCAACACCAACCACGTATACCTAGCTTTATCCAGGCGTGGGCGCTAGAGTCGGGCCATAAGGACCGGCAAGCGCTCTACTTGCTAGGACACGATATTAATAATTGGAACAAACGATGGGGTCGCAAACGTGCCTGTTGGCTCCTGACCGTCCGTTTCGGCCCTGTCACATGAAACGGCCAGCCGTTTCGTTCGGGTCTGCATTGCGGTCCACCGCTTTTTCCCGTCCGTTCCTTCGTGGGTGGAGATAAAAAGAGCCGTGAACACACGCGTCGACAACGCGTACCTACTATATGTATCCTTATACAGAGGCGTCACAATGGCTTAATGAATGTGCTTGCACGTTTTGCAGTTCTTGTTCCAGACTTGGGCCGTGTGCGGCACAAACCGTGGGCAGCCGCACGACCGGCAGCTCCCCATAATCTCCGACCGCCGCGCATCTTGCATCTAGCGCAGTCTTGAGCCTGCTGTTTCTGACCAGCCATAAAGTCTACCTTGTGCTCTTCAACACCTTGCATGGCTCGCTCCAGCGCCTCGTACAACGGGCGTGCCGCGTTCGGTTGCTCGACCTAATAATGTCCATCGACTCGTCCTCAACATCGTTGTCGCCGCGTACCGTGCCGTTCAAGATGAGCTCGGGCTCGACTTCGCGGCCGTAAAACTTGGTGTTGAGATCCTTGCGCGCCGCAATGATGGTGCCCGTGAGCGAAATCCCCGCGTACAAGCCGCGGCTGTGCGAGTAACTATAGTTGGCTCCGAGCCCGGCGGGCCCGACGGCGGCGGCGGCCGCTGCCGCACGACCATAGGGCCCGACCGTCAAGTCGAGACCCGCCCCACGTTGACTTGCGGCTTCTCAAAGACCTTGACAGCGCCTTGCGAGCCACTAATCGATATATATCAGTCCCAAGGGTCAAGGCGATGCAAACCTACAGAATGATCATGATTTCGGCGAGCTCGCCACCAATCTCAAAGCCGCCCGAGAGACCTACGTACACATGAGTGTCCCATACGCAGCAAGAAGAACCGTTCGTACCGACGGTGCCAATGGCCGATGGCGCGCTCCACTGCCCGTTTGGGAGGCGGCTCACGACAAGTCCCGTGCCCGCCGAGCCCGAAACAAGAAAGCCAACGCGGAGAACCGTCATGATCGCGAGACCTTGCGCCTTTTCCAGAAAGGTCACGGGAATGCGGCGGTCTTGGTCGGCGCCCCACTCGTTGCGGAAAAAGTTACCTAGTTCCAATTTCATCGCCGCGCTTCCTGCGAGATCCAGGTCGTACCGATAATGTCGGCGGCGTTGCGGCACTCCTTCTCGAGGTTGGAGCTGTACGGACTAGACACAGGATCGACGGTCAGATATCGATGGCGACCAGCTCACGTCGTACGCATGGATGCGGAAGGCTGCCTTGTGCTCGTTGTCCTTTTGGAAGCTGCCATACTGCTGAACTAGGTACCATCAGCGTCAATCGGGTGAGATCTTAGTGCCGATGCAACGTACTCAGTTCGTCCTGGAGCGGGTGCAAGCGCGGCGCACATTGAATGCACGCACGCTGGGGCTCGCTCACAGAGTAGCCTTTCGCCCCCGGGATCTGCTGGCCCATGGGGATGAGCAGCTTCATGGGCGAGCACGAGTTGCACACAAAGAGCCCACACGAGCGGCTACACCCCGAGACAGGTGAGCTCGGATTCCGTTCCATGTACGGTGGTACCATTGGTGCCGGCGGTTCGTCACAGTGAACGTGACGTTGCAGATATCGCAGTTCGGGTGGTCGGCGTAGCGGCTGTTGAGCATGCCCGGCTTGGCATTCGGGTTTCTACAAGTCGAGAGGATGAGGCGTCGTGCCACCAAGTTCGCTGGTGACGTACACTTTCGAGTTGGAGAATTGCGCCGTGTCCGGGTTGCTCTCCCAGCTCGAGCGCGACGAGATCGAGTTGTTGGACGCGGGCGCCCCGAAGAGCGAGTCGCGGTCGCCGCCGAGCGTCTGCTGGTCGTACTCGAGCAGCGCCCGGCGCTTGCCTTCGTCCGGAATGAGACGTACGAGCTGCGGCAGAAACGCCGACGTCGTGGAGCCGCCGAGTTCGTTCACGAGCGAGCTATGGAACGCAGGTGCGTTCATCTCGCCGAGACCGTACGCGCGGCAGTTGTCCTTGAAGGCGCGGACGCCGGCCTCGTTGTTGCCGCCCTTCGCACTGCGGATCGTGTCCAGGCACTGACCGTAGAGCGCTTGGGCCTCGGCGCCGGTCGCAGCTGCGGGCACGACGATGCTGACCACACGCGCCTGCGGGATGTCGCTGTAGACGGGCATGGCCATGGGCGGCGGCGGCGGCGGCGGCTGGAAGCTGCTGTCGAGCATCTTGGCCGGCGCCGCCGGGGGCAGCCCGCCGGGCGCCTCGTACCGGAAGCCGCACTCGGAGCAGAACTTGGAGCCCGCGGCCGTCGACTTGACGCCACACTCGGGGCAGAACTTGAACATGGCAAATTCCAAAATAATTCAATCTTGGTGTTCACTTGGACTTTGTATGGATCGTCACTCCAGCTGGGGACAGCAGACCAAGCGCCCCAAATAGACATGATATCATGTCTCAAAGTATACTATATTTTAAAGGTCAATGGAAACACAACTGTCGGATCCCGAGATGTTGTACCACAGAATATCGAGAAAGAGAGGTATATGGATGTCACACGCAGGAGCGATGTCGCCGAATTCTGGGCGATGGGCCTCGCTGGATACCGGTATGTTCCGAGTTGTTCGCGCGTCGATGCGCGGTAGCACAACACACTAACAGCGCGGCAGAGGACAGGTTGGCAAACCTCGAATATCTTGTGAATTGTCGGAATTTCAGCGACTTTACTGACAGGTTTTCTTGCATAATCATCGTCGACATGGAGGACCGAGAATGCAAATGTACCCACGGACGCGCAATTGCGCACGGCGATTGGATGGCTGGAATACGCGACGCCCGTTTCGTCATCGACGCGACCAGAGCGCGCCACGTCATAGACATGCGACCATCGTCTTCCAGGGCGCTGCTTGGATGGTTGGCCACACGTGCAGCGACGTCCGACGAGCCAAGACGACACAAAGGGTGCGGAGAGGGCATCATCATTTCGGGCGTCAGCATCGGACACATGACCTGCGTGACGCCACCGTGTGTGTGCTTGAAGGCAGCGTTGTGCTGCGGCTTTGCTTCCATGGACACGGGTTCGACACGAGTCCCTTGTCGCTGACACACTCAAGGTACCCATGACGGTGCTCAACTGACTGCGCAGTGAACGCTCCTTCCGTGACGAGCGGTCCACGCGCCAGACATTGGTAAGAGCGACGAGGCTAAGTTGTAACATGTCTTGAGCATCATTCGCTAGCCTCAATCGACTGTAGTTGATTCTCGTCTAACAAGGTCAGTAGAAACTAAGTTTAGTGGGCAGGACAACCAGCGCCCGCAGAAAGCGCCGTCTTGCAGGACGCTTGAATAGCGTCACAGTTGACATGGATGCCGAGGTTGCTTTTACCACCCGGGCTAAAGACTCGTTGTGGGATACTAGTACGCTCGTACGTACTGGGTGAGTCGACGCAAAACTCGGGCAACTGCTGTAGCAACATGACATGGGACTATTCCGTTGCAAAATGAGACTCCATACGCTGGAGGTGGCTATCGATACGACCAACACAGCCGCAGCAGCAACGTAGCTTATTTTCTGCTACCTCGTCGACACGCGCACGAGGGTGCGTGTCTCGTCGCGATGTTGGCAGTCGCGGATCGGTGTCTGCTGCTGCTGTTGTGAATATGCTGCAATGAGCGATTGAATTTGAGGTCGTCACCGACAACTGGCAGACCCTGGTGGTGAGCTTCAAACGCCTCTGGCACCAAGAACACACGCGATGGCCAGCCGTTGTACACGTTGTCGAGTGAGATGTGCGCGTCGCCGATATGTGCCTGCGAGCGCTGCCGAAGAGCACCGGGCTCGTCCTGGACGACGCAGCAGGTTGCATTCTGTACATTTTGCACTGGCGACGCTGCTTGGTCGAGCAACTTTGTCGTTCAAATCGCCACTTCTCTCGCTAGCGACGAAGCTCGAAACGGCGTTGCATCATCTCTGCTGCTGTCACCCGGCTTTGCTACCGTCTACGTTGAGCACCGTTGCGAGAGCGCTCGAACGATCCTCGACATTACGTCGACCGGCATAGACGTTATGTCACGTGCACGATCCGCTGTGGTTTGAACCTCTGAACTTCCTCGCGTTCTCACTTGTTCCATTTTACCGGATAACGATTATCCGTAGGCCGGTTTTATGTCATAAGTCGACAGAAGTGAGAGTAAACGAGCGGAGATAAGTCCAAGGAGTGAACGATGCCAGTTGGGCGCACCAGACGACACAATGCGCTACACGGGTGCTGGGTTGAAAGCGATGGGTAGTTATGGCAATGACAATGGAGGTAGTACATGGCAGCATCGCAAGTAGGGACAGTGGTGCGCCAGATCTATGTGGGAATCGCTTTGGTCCACGCGTACTACTTACTGTAGCTGTATTGACGGGATTGCATACAGCACGGAGTGATCGATGGGTGCCCGGCTTTCACAATATTTTAGTTGGTGCGACTGTGGGAGACTGCGGGCGAGTCAGCTGCGGGAGACCGTGTCTTTGCACTACAACACCATTTCGATTCGCCCACCTATTACTCCTGGTCTAGTGCAATCGTCCGACCAAGGCATACATCTCGCGGACCAAAAACGCGACTGAGTGCGTTGGCAGCTGGCTCATGCCAGTTTTCTTTGTCGATTGGATTCAGAGGGCGAGATGCAATATACGACACTGCGAGGCATCGCTTGCTGTTCGATTTGAGTAGCAAGGGATCCGTTGATTACGCGTTTAGGGCAATAGGATTGGTGGATGCAACAAACATATGGGTCCTCTTGTCCTGTTCAGTTGTCCATGTCCCGGAGAGTGACCAATCAACGTGCAAATGACAAGCCACACCTCACCGAGCAGCCTGCTCTTCGTAGTCTTCTCCAGCTCCTCGCCCAACACGAGTGGCCGCGACGTCACCTCGTCCCGCGGATCGCGCTCCTGCCTCCGCCTGCCTAAATCAAGTCCCTCAAAAGAGTACACACAACGAAGAAAGTCCGACAATTTTATTTAGCATAGTTTTATCTATTGTAATAGACGACCCACTTCAACAACAACAAGCCACACCTCAGCCACTCATGTATTACTCCTGGTTTATATACCAACATATGTATTCGCCGCGAAATTTGAGTGGAGTAATAAGCGGGAGGAGGTCCTCCGAGTTGCAGCCCGACGCCGACTCGTCCGTCGCTTTCGCCGCTCTGGTGCTAAGCTAGTACCCTGTCAAGGAGCGTCACCGCCCTGTCCTCAAGAGAATCACGTTGTCACGCTTTGCCGGCCGCTGCGTCGTAGTATTTCATCAGTGCTTGTTGTGTGCCAAGATCATTACCGCGTGCTGCGATGGGTTCCCTCAGTCTCACAACTGCGGTACCTCGTCCAATTTTCCACGATGGAGTAGTACTACTGTCCAACAGGATTTTACAACGACTAAGTTTATGCGTCCATCAATCAATGATTGCTCGGGTCATT